TAATTTTTAGACTTTTACATTAAATTTTTTAAAAAATTTTTTCGTAAACATTTTATTTTCAAAATGACTTCTCATTCTATTTAAAAAAATAATTTTCTAATAATAATGTTTCTAATAAAATTTTGCCAAATCCTCTCTGGCTTACGTTTTTCCCGTAACCAAATAAAATTAATTTAAAATTGTTATTGTAAGGGTATTTCATAGGATTGAGCTGGTCTAAAATATTTAAAACATAAAAAAAGGTTGCACTTTCTCACATTCATATATTATGTGAGCAGTACTTTCAACTTTTGCTCTGCATTTAGGACACAATTGATATTTTCTAACTTTTAAATCAAACATCTTATCATTTGTGGAAAATGTGCTGTTATCGTATTTCGCTCGCTTTATTGTTAGTATTTCTTTTAAAAGTATTAAGGAAAAAATGTTTCCAATCTTTCTCATTTATGTTTTTCATACTTTTAAAGAAAGTCTCCAATTAGTTTTTTTTATATTCAATTTTTTAAAGTGGTTTGTTTAATAATTTATTTAACGTAAGAACAGTTAGATTTTTCAATTCAAATTTCGATTTTCTTTAGGGTATATATTGAGGGGCTTTTTTATTATCATGTTTTTTACCTTGCTTTAAAATTTTTTGTTTCCATTCCCTCGGTATGGCTTTGATAATTTTATCTAAACCGGTTTCCGTCAAGTTTATGTTTTTATAATTCAAAAAACCTGGTTGAAATGTTTTAGCAATATTAACTACTATCACAATGTCGTTATTTATATCTACTTTTTCTGGAATTAAAAATTTTTGGGGTAAATTTGTAATCATTTTGTTATAAAAAAAGAGGTTGATTTAAAATTTCTTCAATTTCCATTAATGGTAGTCCAGTGGCCACCAGACCTAAAAAAGATGTCTTTTGAATTTTCAAAAGACGTCCAAAACGTTCAAAAGACGTCTTTTACGTCCGTGCCCACTGGGAGGTTATGTTTTTCTTTTAAATTATGCCATTTGATTAATAGCTGAGCATAGAAGGTTGTTTAGTCTGCCTAGGATAAGTTTTGAAAATGTGAATGTTTTGATTGGCATTTCTATTGGAATTTATTCATTGCATATTTCCATGGTCCATTAATATTTTCATCATGGATTTTACTTATCCATTGCAATTGAATAGCTTTAAGTTTATTCGTTAGATTATTTACACTTGCGCCACCACATTTTATGTTTTGTTGCGTTTTTATTTTGCTTAATCAGCATATTTTACTACCCCGAAAAAATTATTAATCTTTGTTTCTATTTTATTTAAAAATCTTTCACTTAGAATGGGAACAATAAAAGTTAAATATATTTGCGGGATTATCGAGTTTATTATAGTTTTTTTTACCTTTTAAGGATAATTTATATTTTTTCCACTTTCGAAGAGTGCTTTTTATCAAAGCGCTCTTTCCAGTGGGTTTCAAATAAAAACTTATTTGAGGAAATAAGTTTTCATTTTCAATTTGAACCGTTATTTGAGAAAATTATTCCTAAACTTTTAAATGTACTTTCATTCCAATTAAAATTTAAATATTTGTTTTTATCTTTAAAAATGTTTTTTCCTAGCTATATCCCTTGGCATTTAGCTACATTTATTTTGGCTCCGGTGGCTTTTTTATTCAGTTTTACGGTTTCCCCTACTTCTTTAATGGAATCATCTCCAGTTAAAAAAAAATTTGTGTCATCAGCGTATTACTGTATTTTTGTATCTTTTCCATCGAACAACTGTACCTTTAATTTTTTCGCTTTGTATAATAAAAGTTGAAAATGCTTCTGCTTGGATGAAGTACAATATCATTGACAAAGGACAATGTTGTCTTACTCTTCTTAAAATTTTATTTTTTCTGATTATAAATCATTAATTTTAATTTTTGAAAAAATCTTGTTATATATTGTTTTAATAAAAAATATAAAATCTTTTCTGAATCCAAAATGTTTCAAACTTTCAAACAAAAAATCCCTATCTACTCTGTTAAAAGCTTTCACCTGATTTATAAAAACTATGCAAGCATCTAATTCGCTTTTTTAGCAATACTTATAATAACTAAGATTATAGTTTGGGTAACTAAGATTATAGTTTAAGTAACTAAGATTATAGTTTATAGTTCTGTTTTTAATACATATTTTTAATACATATACATAGCTGTTTGGTTACTATGTATTATATTTGGTAATATATTTTTCAGTCTATTTGCTAAATACTTTGTTTGAATTTTATAATCAACATTTGTGAGTGATATAGATCTTCAATTTCCAATATCATTTTTGTTTCCTTTTTTAAAAATACATGAAATTATAGATTCTTTTTGGGAATTTGTCCTTTTACCGGTAAACAAAACATTATTTAAGGTATCAGTTAAATCTTTTTTAATTATTTCGAAGTTTTTATAGAATTCAATTGTAAGTTCGTCTTAGCTGGGAGACTTATTATTTTTTATTTTCCCTAATGCTTGTTTTTTTCTAGAAATTTATTTTCATTTTCAGTCACGTTCTGAACTTTAAAAACAAAAATTCTTGAGGTTTGTCATTTTCTTTATTTTTATAAAAGTTTCAAATTCAGAAACTAAAAGTTTTCAAATTCAGAAACTAAAAGTTTCAAAATCAAAACTAATTAAGAAAACTAATTAACTAAACTTCAAATTCAGAAATTAAAAGTTTCAAATTCAAAAACTAAAAGTTTTCAAATTCAGCCAAAATTTATTTTTGTTCTGTTTTGATTTACCCGTCACAACCATTTATTTCTGTGACATTGTTTCGCAAGTTTTTGTTTTTCTAATCCGAAAAAAAATTTTGAGGATTTTCGCCCCCTAATCTCAATTTAATTCTCGCTCTTATCGCCGCCCCTTCTGCTTTTTCTTTTTCAATTTGTTCAATTTTAATTTTTACATCATCGTATAACTTTTTCATGTTGTAATTTAAATGCATTTTTGTCGATGCATTTTTTAATAATTTTAAAAGTTTAAATTCTCTTTCTTTTTTTTTTTGTTTTAGTTTTTTGTTAAACTTTTTAGAAATTTCTTTTACGTTTTCTTTACCAGCTTTCTTCAGTCTTTAATATTTTCATACTTATTCTTTTGCAGTGTCATTTCTTTCAAGCTCGCTACAAAATTTTTATACTCTTTATTTTCTAAATGTTTATTATTTAATATTCATTTTTCTAATCTAATATTAGTTTTGTTTATATTAAGGATCACTACTCGAGCATTATAATGATTTGTTAAAACAGTTGGCTCAAAAAATGTTTTATTATTTTGCCTAGCTTTTTTGCTAATATAGAAGCAGTCTGGTCTTGAACGAGGCATGCCGTTAGTGTATGCAAAAGTATATTCGTTAATATAGGGATTAAAAATTCTCCAAATGTCTTCTATTTCTAGGAGGTTTAGTAAAGTTTTTAAAGTTTTATTTGACGGACATTCTCTTCTAAACATGGCGAGGTACCTATCTCTATCTGATAATGTTACATTAAAATCACATATTAATTTGAAAATCATTAAAAACTTTATTATTAAATTCATTAATTAACTCATTAAACAAATTTATTCTTAATTTTTGAGAATTTCCGCCATCGGAAGGTGCGTCAACATTAATTATCAAGTAATTTATGCCATTAATTTTTAAGGTGTAAAATTTTAATTGTTCCATAATTTTTTTTTTTTTTTATATATATCAAAATAATATTTTAATTAATTTTTTTTTAATCCAAAAATTTTTACATATTTCCTATATCAGGAGAAACTTTTTGAGGAAAACCTCACTGGTAAGTTAGGACAAACAAACAAAAAGAATAAATACAGATAATGCAAAAAACATATGCACACCCAACACTGTTTTTCCTTTCAGAAAAGTCTTTTTTTAAGAAAGCCCATTTTGGTTTATTGTTTTGACGTCGATTTTTCTTCTATCGGCATTTTAGGGTGTATGCGTTTTCTATCGTTTACATTGATTATGGGTTTTTATTTCTTTAACTAAATCATTTAATTTATTGTTCAGTGATGTGACATTTGTGTAAAATTAGTTTTAAAATATTTACTTTCAATAATTGGATCATTGAGCATTATTTTAAAGTTAAATGACTTATGTGGTTTAACTTGGCATCCAGAAACAATATCAATCAAAATTATACATTGATTCGAACGATTCTTGTCATTTTGATTTGTTAATTAAATAATTTGCTCTTTAAAAGTTAAAATGTATATGCATAATGCATTAATCCAATATTTTTATTACACAGTTTATTATTATTTAAAATTAATATTCTCAAAGCATTATTTTCAAAAGAGTTTTTTTTTATTCTAAATATTTAATATGTTGTACAAGAACTCTATTAATCAGCGCTTCAAGCTGCTGTCTTGAAACATAATCCACTTTTGGTATCATTTTATTAAATCTTATTTACTATTTATAATTCTATACTAAATTATTGACAATTTATAGATCATAAATAAATAACAACAATAATAAAAATAATAAAAACAAAAGTAATAACAATAATAATAATAATAAAAGAATTTTGTTAAATTCTTTTGAAAAAGTGCCTTAACCCACTATAGATTTAAGTTCTAATCGGTTCGGGCGTATATTTACTAAAAATAGTTGTCAAAATACAATATTTCTTACTATTTTATTTAATAAATGCATACAATCGGTAATAGAGAGTGAAAGTCCGCCTAAGTGGAAACTATTAATATCAAACCAAACTTTATTTATTAAGCAAGTACTTAAATACATAAACTAAATATATTTAATATTTACTTTGTTTAATCGGTAATAGAAAGTGAAAGTCCGACTAACCGTAACTTATTAATATCAAATCAAACCTTATTTTTAAAATTGGAACAGTTTGCATCTATCAAGACAAATAGTAAATTTGTGTTTTTTTTTATTAATTTAACCCGTTAAATTTCTTTTCAACAATTTTATCTCAATTAATAGAAAAAAATATATTAATAAACGAACTTATAGCTTGTTTATTTACAAATTAGCTTTAAAAGAGTTAAAGAAATGCGTCTTTTCAACTACGTCAAATCTTTGACAGTAGAATGGCATCTTAACCACTATAATTAATTTGAAGTAATTAAAGACGTGAATAGAAACTTTAGAAATTTTACAATTTGATAATAAAAACGAAATAGTAATAAACTTCACCGTGTTAAAATTACTTTTAGGAAAGGATTGAAAGCCATAAAATTTGTGAAATAGTACGTACTTAACTAAAAATAATAAAAGTATTACGAATTGTTGAAATTTTTTTTATATTGTGATGAAGCAGAAAAAAAAAAGCTTTTTTGTAATTTCGTTTTTAAAGTACTTTATCTGTTTGAGAATCGAAACAAAACGCAAAACTGTTTTAATTTGTTTATTTGCATTGCTGTCGCTGTATATCTTGCTTCAATTGTCTCAAGTTAATAATTTGACTGTTGCAAAATACTTTCCCGGTAATCATAGCATTGCTTTAGTTATCGCTCATCCTGACGACGAGGCAATTTTTTTCTCGCCGACGTTATTATATCTAAGTAAAATAAAGCATTTTCAAATGCACGTTTTATGCGTAACGAATGGAAATTTTTACGGGTTAGGTGAAGTACGCTCAAAAGAACTCTTTCGCAGTTGCTACGAGTATGGACTTGAAAAAGAACAAGTATATTTACTCAACGATGATATGTTTTATGACCATCCTTCAATTAGGTGGAACAACATTTCAATGCTAGCAAAGAAGTTGGAATTGATATTAGAAGAAAGGAGTATTGACACAGTTTTATCTTTTGGTCCGTACGGTTGCTCTGGCCATCCGAATCATCGAGACGTTCATTTAACGGTTCGGACTTTAACAAGCTATCGAAGATTTTTTATGACTGATGTTTGCTTTTTACGATATTATGGAGGTATATTTGAAGTAATTTATACATATTTTTTAAGTTCTGAATATAAAGCTTTTTTTCTTTCTTGGGATGTCTTAAAAACATTTAAAGCTATGAGTTCTCACTTAAGCCAATTCCGTTATCATTGGATTTTGGTCCGATATGTACTTATAAATGATTGGACGGTTTACGACATTAATGCAAGAGTTGGTAATGAATTGCCTGCATATTAAAAAAAAAAATTCAAGTATTGTATTTAAACAAAGTTTTCTAATGTCAGTTTCTATATAATGAAATTTTAGACTAAAACATAAATTTTATTTATCGAAGAATAAAGTTCTAGTCTATTGCATTTTTTATTATTTAAATTTTATCAAATTTCTCTACTAACTTTTTATTTTAGACTTGGGTTCCATTTGTTTTTTTGATAGTGTTCTTTAAAGTTAAAATAACTTCTCTTAATTTTTTATTTTTTTTTTATTTGTAAATAAAATATTATTTTTTTTTATTTTTCATACTTGTAACATAATCGGTTAACTCTTTATATTTTGAATAAACAAAAAAACAAAAAAAATCTTTTCAACAACTCCTGCTTGAAATTAAAAGCAATATAAGATATATACTTTTTTATATATAAAATGCGATGCTCCGATGCAAAATGAAGTTGAATTGTGATGAAATATAAATAGGCTTCTAACCGTGTTTTAAGCTAAAAAAATTTAATTTGATCATTTTAACATTATCTATAAAAGCGGTTAAAATTTTGGCGGATTTTTTTGAATTTTTAGCAACCAACTTACGGGGTGGAAGCAGATTTTTTTTATTTTCATGATAGCTAACTCTAAACATTTATATTTTCTTATTTTAAATAAGGATGCTTCACAAAAAATTGTGATGATGAGCCTGGGAACAAAAAGCCCTGAAATTTTAGCTACGCCCCAAACCTGAGAGCAACAAGTTAATAAAACATTGTTTTTACTATTCTCAACTAAATTAATATTCATCAATTTTAAATTTCATACAATAATCTCTTAGCTTTCAAAATTTGACTTTGTAAATATATTTTTGAAGTTTGCTCCATGTCTAGAAGTTAGCTATCGCAAAAATTAAAAAATGCGGCATCCGTCCTTGAACTTTAGAGGTTTAGAAGTTTAATTAATTATTTAGGAAGGATTTGTTTTGATATATTATATTTTCAGTTAAAGTAATTTGCATTGAAATTGTAAATATACATAAAGAAGTTTGAGAAAAATCAATATTTACATCAAGGCAGAGTGAATTTTTATCTGTTTAGAAATTCATTTTGTAAGGATGTGCTAAAGTTATCCACTCATATAAGAAATACTCAAGTTTCAGTGCTTTTAGAAATTATAAAGATGTGCCACAACACCTTTGAAAAATTATTGGGTACCTAATACTATTAAAATTTTCAAAAATATGAAGCAATATTTTTTCAAATAAAGTATGAAGCAATTTTTTTTTCAAATAAAGTGAAATAAAATTTTAAGAATAATCTTTTTTTAACAGGGCTCAATTTAAGACTAAGGAGCAAATGAAACTATAAAAAAAGAACTAAAATGGCGAGCGCTAGTTAGCGCACCCAGGGGTGTGGGAAGCCTAGATCTTACCACCCGACACACCCGGTTTTGGATGGTAAGGTCCTTTAGCAGGGTGTGGGGGAGCCGCGGCCGCCCAAAGGATCTTTTGATATTTGCACTGATACAAATCAAAGTCTGAGTATGACAATAGCAAAGAAAAAAAAAAAAAAAAAAAAAGTTTTAAATGCAGAAAACCAATTTATTTCAACAACAAATGGATTATGCTCAACTATCTAAGACTCTACACATAATAAATGATACACTTAGAATACAATACAGTCAGTACTACAGTATTTAAATTCAGATATCTTCTTAGGGACTTGCCATTATGCCAATATTTTTCAAATCACCTTTTAACCTGATTCACATACAGATGTGAATCAGATTATTAGGTTATTTAAATTTTAGATAACCCTTGAACCTGACATAGGTCAATATAGGTTCTAAGTTCAATGGCAGACTCAGAGAAGTTAATAGAAAATGTATTGCATAAAAATTTCATTTCTTTTAAACCACAAGATAGTGGGCTGTTTGTTGGCCATGCAGATTGATTTATGACATCAAAGGCTTGGATAAACTTATTTATACATATTAGGGTAAATCCATGACTTATCAACATTCTCTTTTTCAAATTAACTGCTAACTACCTCATAAACTATTTCTTATTAATAATTACATAACATTTTTTATTTACTTCCAAGAAAACACTTTTTTAATGTTTTGAAGCAAAATAGATTCCTTTGCCTCTTCTGTGTAATAACATTTAGAAAGGGATTTAAAATTACACACAAGTTTAGAACAAAATTTAGAGCTTTGATTCGTAAAAATATGCCCTTCAAACTTTTCCTAATGTGCATTAGACTAAAATTATCCTTAACTGCTTGTTGAAAATGTTTGAACTGAGTTGCAAAAGAAATCCAAACTGCCCGAACTGACTATAGGCTTAATGTATGTCTAAACTTTTGTTGTCTAAACTTTTGTATGTCTAAACTTTGATGTCATAAACTAAACCACTGTATGTCTAAACTTTTGCTTACGAATTTGATTAAAGTTTCCTAAAAAATATTCATTAAGTTTTAAATTTCTCTAAATTTTCTCTAAATTTTAGGTAATGAATGTACTTTGTCAAAAAATAGTTTAAGATTATTAACTCTATTCACTTTTTATGAAATCACCAACATACTAGGTTGCTTTAGAAAATGTTTCTTAGTAATTTTGTAACGCCTAAATCTTTTGCTAGTATTTCGGAACAGCCACCTTCAGCCATCTAAAACCATGACTGCTTAGAGAGGATAAAAATGTACTGATGAACGGACGTAACATTGGTTGTACTGATGATCGAGCGACATTAATTGATTAACGGACGTGTTTTTTCTGCGTGGTTAAAGAGTGATGGCTTGTGGCCTACGGTGACTAACGTGTGCATTCGATCAATTGAAATCCATTCTGTAGGTCTTAGGACTGGCTCTGATGTGCTAGCCCATAAGCGTAAGAAGTGAGTGTGTTTAGTTTTCTATTCACGCGATTTGAAAGTGAACAAAAACATAACGAGGCCATACTAGACGACCAAACGGTACATACTAATGCACTACACAATCACACCTGTAGACATCAACAGCCTCTAAAATCAATATATTAAATATTTGTTCTTTATTATATACTTTTATTCATAATCTTTTTTTACCTTATCCTTGAATATTTATTCAAATTTGTGTTTTAATGTGTGAATGAGGCCGTATATTTGTGAAAAGCATAACAGCGCGAAAATTTTACACAAAAGTACGTATTAGCGTATTTTTATAACAAATGTATTCTTGGTTGGAATATACTGAACAATTCTACTAGATAAGTTTAGACTTATTGCGATCTCGTTACGTTTTTTGTTTCTATCTAATTTTCTCAATCTGACGTCAACAATATTGTTTTTTAACGTTACATTTTTTAGTGGTTATAGGCTGTCAGTGGAAAATCGCATTTATTGTCTCATCTCTTTATTTCCTTATCATTCTCTGCCTACTGATTTAATGTTTGCATATTCTTTTATCTCTGGTCAATCGTTGTTTAATTGCTCTGAGTCTGTTTTGTGTGATAGCTATTGTCTCTACTTATCAGGCAAGATTTATATGAGAACATACTATCCTCGCAGTCGGAAAGTCACGTGGTTATGCAAAATAACAATAGCGCAAGTTGTTACCATCTTGGATGGTGGAAAACAAATGATTAGTTGAATTAATTAAGCAGGACAATTAGTACGAAAAAGTGATTTAAAGAGTTTAAAAAAAGAAATATCGGTTTACGAATACTTTGAAAAATTAAATTTTAACGCCGCAGAAAGGTATATAAATAAATTTGCAATCCTTGGAATCAACTGATGTCTACAAAAGTTCCTTGCAAATACTTGGAAAGATGATCAAACTGAATGTCCATGAGTTCAATACCATGACGTTTATAATTATTTATTAAAAAGTCCTATAATATTTTATTTTGAGGCTATTGGTAATTATGAAGCATTAGATGCTTATAAATATTTTGGCTTTTCACAAGACATTAGGCTCTAGTTTTAATGTTTTAAAAACACAAGTTTTCTGACTCGTACGTTAAAAACTACAAAACCATCTTAGTCACCAGAGTTGACTGAAAATAACAAAACCGTCTTACAAAACACACACATATATATATATATATATATATATATATATATATATATATATATATATATATATATATATATATATATATATATATATATATATATATATACATATATATATATATATATATATATATATATATATATATATATATATATATATATATATATTATATATATATATATATATATATATATATATATATATATATATATATATATATATATATATATATATATATATATATATATATATATATATATATATATATATATATATATATATATATAAAAATCACTTAAAGACACAACAACCCTTGTGCATTTTAAAGACTTTTATGTTAAGCCATTGTTTTCGTTTCATAACGAAAGTTTATTTTCCCCCAACTAAAATGGTAGATGTTCGCGGCAAAGATTATGACGTATTTCCGACTGCGAGGATTGGAGTTATCACATTTTTTATCATATTTTCGTTTAACTACTTTCGTACTAACAACAAAACATCTTAGTGTCAATCTTTATGAGTGGTATTTACTTATTATATTTATAATACATATTTCAGCCATAAAAGAAACGGTAAGTTACTATCAATTATTAATTACTATTTTATATTTGCTTTGTGTTATTTCTACACATTATAATTGTTTATTTATACATGTGCATACGCCCAGTGGACACGGACGTAAAATAGACGTCTTTTAAACGTCTTATAAACGTTTTAGACGTCTTTTGAACGTTTTTTGAACGTTTTGAACGTCTTTTGAACGTTCAAAAGACGTCTTGTTTTGGTCCGGTGCCCACTGGGCGTACATGTGTACAAGTTTGTCTCTTTTAATGTAATTGTACATTATATTTATATGTATTAAAACATCTTTTTATGGTCACACCACGCGCATCCCTCACCACCCTCATAAGATCTTCAAGAATGTTGGAGCTGTTTTCAAAAACTGGGATAGGGATTGGGTTTTTTGGCTTTTGTAGTGTAGCCCTATTATATTACAATATTGATTAGCATGACGTATAGGTGATGAGATTTGACTCGCCCCTGACGAGTGGTGTTAGTGCAGATATCGGGCTCTACGAAACGTCATTGGTGATTGCAGTGAATTCCTGAAAAGGGGGATCACCATTTATCCACTACTCAATTCTTATTGGATATTATGGCACCAACATTTTTTTTACCTTTTACACTCATACATTTTTGCGCTTTGTGAGCTTTTTATTATGAATTTGTTACATTAACGACATTTATATATTTTTATGTTACACAGGTAATTATTAGTTCTCAATTTATTATCTAGAATTTAGACCATATATAGTACCACATTTATTAGACATTTGTATGGTGCGATTATTTTAGTTATGGATACCATTAATAAACAAGCGGATTTTTATTGACATGTTTACTCATAGATCATTGTTTTATCATTTGTTAAAGATGACTAGAGTGTGAATAATAGTTCCTCTCTTCCTGAGTTGCTAACTTTTACTCCTCCTACTAAATAGTCTATACATTAATTTATGTTTTTTTACCTAAATGACACCATATTCAATCTGTTTTTATTTTCACATCTCCTAGGTCTACGTAACTGGACGGCTCCGTTGGTCACTTTTTGCAATCATAGTGTCGCATAAACATAAAAAAGACAATTAAAGATATGTTTGAAGAATTTGAGAAAAAAACAGAAGAGATACTTAGTAGAAAAGAAATAAATTTTGCCATTATAGAAAACGCAAATCTAAAATTAACAAATGAGCGTTTTGATAAAGTGGAAATGTTATCCAACAATAATACAAATATTGTTGAACCATTAATTAAAGATGTCGAAGAATTAAAAACAAGCCTAAACTATCATGAAGAACTTATTGAGAAGAAAATAAAGATTACCATTACCCCCATTGGAGAAAAATTAAGCTCACGAAAAAGGTGAAGAAAGTAATGAATTTATACATATTAAAAATAAATTTAAAAAAATTGAGGATAGATCGAGAAAAAACAATTTAAGAGTAGACGGAATTGAAGAGATAGAGAATGAAACCTATAGTTCTCAAATTATTGGACTTCAAGGATAAAGTTGCAATCTTAAGGAAATCATCAAGTTTGAAGGAAAAAATATATACTTTAACGAAGATTTCTGCGCGGAAGCAAATCTAATCCGAAAAGAATTGTTGGAAAAAATGAAAGTGGAAAGTCTGGAAAATTTGCGTACATATCTTACGATAAACTAACCGTATGGAATTGAAATGCAAAGAAAAGTAATTTTTGTTCTTAATATCTTTTTATTTTGTAATTATTCTACTTTTTTTTTATATTACTTATTATGAATAAAAGAACTAAGTTCTCTAAAGGAATAATAAAAAAATAATAATTTCAATGATAAATATAAAACCCTTCAAAATGGATTCAAATATGACTGAAAATCCATTTAATCAAGTTATTTAAACATGCTTGAAGAGCATGTTTAAATAATTTAATTTAAAGACAATATTAATTTTATAGCTATTCCTTAATGAACGCGGAAGCACCGTATTTGTTTTCGAATGAAATAAAGTAATATTTATCTGATATGGAACCTTTTGAGAATTTATCTCCTTCATCTTAACATAAGAAGCGCTAACCCAGTGGGCGCCGGACCAAAACAAGACATCTTTTGAACATTCAAAAGACGTCCAAAACGTTCCAAAGACGTTCAAAAGACGTCCAAAACGTGTATATGACGTTTAAAAAACGTCTTTTTTACGTCCGTGTCCACTGGGAAAGCGAACTTTGAAAACTTTAAAATATTCTTGGAGGAATTTGTTTAAGAAAAACCATGCTAACTGACGACTTCGCTTTTAGCGAAACTTGTGTTTATCTGAATGCAACGGAGAATGTGTTTCGATTGAAATAATTAAAAATGATTATAAAAATAATTTAGTAACGTGTTGCTATAAACCGCCAAATGCGTCAACAATAAAATTCTCAAATCACCTTCAGAATATTGTTCATTTAGGTTCTCTAGAAACTAAGAGACTTTTTTGTTTTAGGAGACTTTAATATTAACGCACTAATTTATGATAATGATATAAAAACTCAAAATGACTTTTCCGATATGGAGTGATTCCTTTAATAAACCGAGAAACACGAATAACTAGAAACTCTTCAACATTAATTGACAATTTATTAACAAATACTTTATTTGAAGCCTCGCTAAAAAAAGGAATAGTTAAAACACCCATATCAGTCCATATGCCAGTATTTATATCATTAAATACATCAAGTAAACATAAACGAAACCTTAAAGGTATAGTGATAAAACGAAGTATGTCATTAATTAACCAAATTGCCTTTCAAAACGAGTTAAGTAAAGTTGACTGGTCTTCATTATAATCCCTAAATGATGCAAATTCAATGTTTAACAGTTTCCATAAAAAAATTTTAAACTGGTATGAAAAACAATTCCTAGAGGAAACAAAAACTTTAAAAATAAAAAACGTAAATTCACCTTGGTTTAGTAAAGGTCTAAAAAAATCTTCGAAGCCTATACGAGAGATATCTAAAACATAAGTGTATAAAGACCAAAGAAGAATATATAAAACTATAGGATTTTATTTGAGAAAATTAAATGAACTGCAAAATCAAACTGTAATAAAAAGCAACTTGAAATGTATCAATTAAATTCTGGGAAAACTTGGCAAATTATAAATGAAATAATTGGCAAACCAAAAATTGATAAATCATGTTTTCCAAAACTTCTAAATATTAAAAATGATACTATTGACAATGAGAACAGTATGGCAAATGAATTTAACAATTTTTTTGCGAATATAGGACCTAACCTCGCGGCGAAAATTCCGTTAATATAATAAAAACTTAATTAAAAATGAGGAATTAACTTTTAGTGAACTTGTGATTAAACCTATATTTGTAGTTATAGACCAAATATCAATACTTTTCATTTTTTTCTAGGATTTTTGAACGAATTATGTTCAATAGAATAAACACCTTTTTCAAAGATAATGATTTGTCTTATCCTAGACAGTTTGAATTTCAAAAAACACTTCAACTGAGCATGCAATACTATACTTAATCAATGAAATAAAAAATTCTTTTGCAAATGGAGAATTTAGTTTAGGTGTATTTATTGACCTCTCCAAGGCCTTTGATAATGCAAATTATGGGATACTTGTTAAAAAGCTTAATATGTATGGTATAAGAGGCATATCAAACACGTGGATAGCAGACTACCTTAGTAACCGTACGCAATCCATACATTATGGAAATAATAAGCATTCGACTTTATCTTTAATTTCTTTTGGAGTGCCCCAGGGATCTATTCTTGTGCCTCTACTTTTTTATATATATATGTAAATGATCTTTGGAGAGCGTCAAATCAAATATCAAAAATAATGTTTGCCGATGACAGTATCTCAGGTAAAAATATACATCAACTCTTCGTACAAATGAACGATGAGTTAGTAAACATTTCAACATGGTTTAAGGCAAACAAACTCTCAATTAATTCGGATAAAACAAAGTTTTCTTTATTCCATCCTTTAAATAAAATTTAAAAAATTCCTATTTCAAAAAACAAACTAGAAAAACTCTATAGAAAACAAAAACATGCTTTAAGAATAATGAATTTTAAAAATAAAAGAGTACATACAAAACCACTTTTTAAAATTATGAACATTTATACATTATACGAGCTAAACATATATATAAAATTTTATGTCGTATGTACAAAAGCAAATTCCAACAATGTCCTTCAATTTTTTACGATCTCTATAAAATAAAACTGCTATTATTAGCTAAAAAATTATCTATTATCTATCTTTTTTAAACTCGCCTTAGACATCTATTTAAGAGACGTATTTTATACATCTAATATGCATCTGTAAGATGTATATTTCACATCTTTTATGCATCTAAGGTAATTATTTGTGTCGAATAAAATGCATCTAAAAGACGTCTATAAGATAGAAGTCTATTTATGTCCCGTTCTACACCTGAAATTAGACATCTTTTAGACCAGTTTTTAGATGCATATTAGATGCATTTTAGATATCTTTTTGTTTGATGGGACTTGTTTGATACAAAGGCGTTAAATTAGTCATAAAAAAGGATTAAATTAAATAAGTAAAGAAACATTTTAACTAACATTACTTAATTTTTATTTCACAAAAATATACATAAGAAACTATATTTCTTCATTGCCGTCAACATTTTCTTCCACGTCGCCGATATCTAAAATATATACATTAATGACATTTAAATGACTTTAAAAGACATGTTGAATTCTGAATCTATTTTTATAAAATATTATATATATATATATATATATATATATATATATATATATATATATATATATATATATATATATATATATATATATATATATATATATATATACATATATATATATATATATATATATATATATATATATATATATATATATATATATATATATATATATATATATATATATATATATATATATATATATATATATATATATATATATATATATATATATATATATATATATATATATATACATACAGTATCGGACAAAACCAGTGCAACCAAATGATGCTAATTTAGTTTCTTTGTATAAAAGTGCTGCATTTTTTCAATTTAGAGAAATAACTATGTAACTGTTTAGAGACAACGTTCTTCAAATTTTATTCATCACAAAGTTCATTATTTGTACACAAAAATTAATAAATTAATCAAAAATATTATAAAAAGTTGATTTCCTTCTCGACAAAACAAGTGCAACTCCACAAAATGTTGACCAAGCTGTATTTTGCTATCAATATTTTGTGGTGAACCCTTTGTTGTCGATCACAGCCTTGCATCTTTAAGGCATAGATTCGATCAGGTGATCAATGAAACTTTGTGGAATCGCTGCCTAGGCCTTTTGGATTTGTTCAAACAGTTCATCCTTATTACGAACACATTCATGATTAACTCTGCAGTTAACAATCTCCTACAGGTTCTCAATTGGGTTGAGATCCGGAGATTGAGGCGGCCAATCCATCACCAATAGATGGTTGTCTTGAAACCACTGCTTGACTACTTTTGCAGTGTGTTTGGGATCGTTGTCTTGCTGAAAAACCCATTTTATTGGTATATTCCATTCGGCATGAGGTAACATAACATCTTTCAGGATATTTTTATACATGAAACGGTCCATTATTCCATCGATTCGATGTATTAGACCTAGACCGTTAGCAGAAAAACACCCCCAGACCATTACATTGCCTTCATCATGCTTCACGGTCTTATGGCAGTAACGTAAATCAAGGCGTTTTCCGGCTGCTTGACGTACAGACAGCTCTAATTGCTTTTGTATCTCAACTGATGATATCCAGGGATCCTTCTTGACAGATCTGACGATAATAGATTTCTCTCTAGAAGTGGTGGAACGAGGTCTTCCACCATTGTTATCTGCTGCCAACTTCCCTGTGGAACAATATTTCGAACATAGTCTTGATACGATCTATTTTTTCACGCGATATTTATCACAAATACTTTTTTGTGACATTCCACTTAAGTAATCGCAAATAATTTTCTCTCTTAGTTCCAATCCAAGACTGTCGGGAACCATTTTTGCACTTGAAGTCATAAAAATAATAAAAATAAATAACCACACTTCTCAAGGCTTACCGTGTTACATTTACCTTGTGATGATAAAATATGGCTCTGTGGAACATAACGTCTTGGTTGGATGTGGACTGTATTGATGTAATGAAACACTTGTTGTATTTCACTTCTGGTATTGATGTTCTTCGAAAAAACACTTTGATAAAACTCACTTCGATAAACTATCTTGATAATACTGACTGATTGACTTCCATATACTGACTGAATTACATGTCTCTTTTATAGTAAAATGAACCTGTGTGAACCCGTTCCGGAAGATTCTAGATGCTTCTTGTCAATACTTCTGGAAGCTTCTGGATGCGTCTGAATGCTTCTGAATGTTTCTGGATACTTCTGGATGCTTCCAGATGCTTCCTGATGCTTCTTCTGGAAACTTCTGGAAGCTTGTGCATGCTTCTGGAAACTTCTGGATACTTTCTTTAATTATTATAAAAATTTTCGTGACGTTGACACGGACCAGACTTGAGAAAATGAAACAAACCAAAAAAGTTGCACTTGTTTTGTATACTGCAAAATGGCACTTGTCAACGAAATTCTGCCTGTGTGCTGTCACTTGTCAGCTGATTGCTCATATCATGGCATGCTATGACTCCAGACTCCTGAACTGTTTGCTGTGGTAGTATAGTTCGTTTCATTTTTAAGACATAAAACTAGGAACACTTTTTAGCATTGTTCGATGTTGGTTGCAAATGTTTTGTCCAATACTGTATATACACATATATACATGTATATATATATATATATATATATATATATATATATATATATATATATATATATATATATATATATATATAAACAAGAAGATTTGTATCTCAACCAGATACAATAAACAAAAACTTTTATATGAAAAAACTAAAGGAACTTGTATTATGGATACAAAAATTCTAGCATGACACAAAAAAGTCGAAGAATATCTTTTTAATACAGATATCAGTTTTGTAAATACTATTAAAACTATACCTCGTATAACACTCCATATATTTACTAGATTTTCTATGCTTATCTTTTCCCCATTTCCTTTTCGATTAAATTTGGACTGTAACTGATTCGAAAATAACCTGATAAATATTTTAACAATAAAACTGAAATATATTTAAAAAGATTTTTACTTTAATATAGGTAATAAGTTAAAATATATGAATGCTTAAAATTATGAAAAGTAAAAGCATTAAATTTGAAAATAAAATGCTAAACAAGGTTTAGCATTACACTTACTTTAGCACACAAACAAACTTAAACACCTACAGTGAAACTCCCGAGTTTATCGAATTGTCATGTTAAAAGTAAATCCATAACAAATAACGGTTAAAATGAATTGCTTTTGGTCCCTTTTAATCATATTTCTAATAATTAATAAAAACATAATCATTTACCTTTTCATGATCAAAAAAACATGTTCTCTTGGCTTTCCACCACCAATCTTTTTCAAACTATCTAGCTGAAATAAATGTAATAAAAACTAGTGTAACTTAAATTTCTTTACAGCATATTGAGTCTAACACAAGCTAGTTATTTTAGTTCATTTACAAATACTTTTCATTTAGATTCTAAACTAGTAACCAAATTTAAATAAACTTATTAAAAATTAAGATAATTAAATTATACCAAATAAGTATACTCGGTTTTATCTTTTAGTTTATTATCCAGTGTGACCACTTCGTCCACTGATTCTAGCAACTTCACCCCAGTAGCCTGAAACTTAATTTCTATAACTTCTTTTAAAAGAACTTTTATTTCTGCAAGCTTGTTGAGAATAACATTTTGCATCTCTACAAACAAGAATAAAAAGATTGATTAACATATTTAGCTCATAAAACCAAATAGCAAAACAATGAAATAAGAAAGTTAAAATTCAAATTATGCTTGAGTAACTCAAACTAAAATTCCAAAAATACATGTAAGTTTTTTAATTACTCCATCGCAGAAGTTGGCATAATATTTTGGAAAAACTACTTTTTAAATTAGCTAAAACTTTATCCTGTAAAAAGTTACGATATTAAAGAATTTTGTTTAACTACTAAAGGTAAAATGCTACACACATGATTTATCGGATCACAATATTATAAATAATCCATTTCTATTCTTTTATACCTATCTTTTACAATTATTTTAATACAAAAACAAATTAATAAAAAAGACCTCCACATTAACATTCAGTGGTGTAAAAACCAAAAATACTCATATTAAAACTTGAAACTCTTTGACAATGTGAACTTTGTTTTGTTTTATTCTCTTCATCAATAAAATGTGAAGAAAAATTATCTTCTTCAATCTTTGAATCTGATAACAACTCTATTCAAAAGAAATAATTATAATTAGAACTATAAATAATCTCTCAACCATACCTGCTACTTAATTTAATTTTTCAACCAATTTTGTACTTTCAATTTCTGAATTTAAACAATTTCAGCATGCTTTCAATCAATTTTCAATTTTCATATCAAGTTGATTAAAGGATTATTTAATACAATAAAATGTTGTCAATCATATAAATATATGTAACCAATTTAACAACATTACATATAATAGGACACCCAAATAGTTTAAATAAAAGGAAAATCTTAGTAATACATAAAAAAGACTAATAGCTAGATAGATATTATTCAGATCAAATTAAACAAGAATCTATTTTAGTTTATAAACCATTAAGAAAAAAATATGATATTTGTGTTATACTTTTATCATTGGGCTTATTCATAATAGGTGGCAGAGGTTCTGGCAATAAAGAGCAGTATGATTTGCTATTTTTATTTTTAATGCTTTCTTTAACATATATCTCATCTGATGTAGAAAGTTGTATTCTTTACAACATGAAAATGAATCTAATTATAAAATATTTTGCTACAAAAAAGTAATTAAGTTACCTTTAAAAAAAACACAAAACAAGTTAGATACTGACTATCTGTTATCTTATACTTTATCAATGGAAATTTGTGCCATTCTTTTGTTGACGAAAGGTTGTTTTTCAGTGCATGATTATAGTTTTTTTTTGGGACAATAAATTTGTTGCTATTCTGTTATTACAATAAATTTGTTGCTATTCTTATTTGTCAATCCACTTGTTTAGTGCATAATTACTTGGTTAGAAAAACATGCAGAAAAACTTTCCTTTAAAGTTGGGTTATGCTTATACTCATTAGGCTTTTGGTTATAAGAGTATTCATTGTACAAAATCAATGACTCATGATGGTCAAAATATTCTTTTAGATTTTTTCAAGATAAGAAATCATTTCTTTTAGAAGTTCCAACATTCGATTTTTTTTCTATATGTACTGATGAAAATTCTAGTATTTTTTAATATTCTTTTTGGACACGTCTACTGCGTCTCTTTTCGTATGCTCTTTTTGTAAAAGACATAAATGATTCTTGGTTCATCGATAAAAACGATAAGTGCACAACCAATAAAACAATCTTTTGTGTTATTGAACAACACTTTTGTAATATTTCTGCAAAATAAATTTCAAATCACAAGGATTTTAGCAAACATTCTAAGCATCAAATCATCGAAATATTTTGTGAACTATAATAGCATGTTATTTATTATTTAAAATTTATCAAAAGAAATAATCATTGATGTCTTCCTTAGGTTAAAATCTTCATGCTTTTATCGAAATAAGTTTCCGAAGGGTTTTTAAATGGCGGTCATTTATAATTATCGCTCCGTAAAATTAGTTAAAATTTTTTTCTTGTTTTTATAACAAATCTATAAAAGACATCTTATAGACATCTAAGTTTAGATGAAAAAAAAATTATCTATGCACGATCTATTTTATGCATCTAATATGCATCTAAAACAGAGCAAAAATAGTATCTCTAGAATCAGACGTCTTTTTGATCTCTAATACACGTCTAAAATATACGTATCGCCAATAGATACAAATTAGACCAATTTTAGACGGTCTAAAAGACGTCTTTTGTTTGCTGGGGCGTACAACAGGCTTTTTAATTGAACCTTTATGCAAAACTAAACAGGAACAATTTAAAATTACATTGTAAATCCACTAAATCTAGAATAAACGTAATTGGTTTATTGTCAAGCACACACCGTCAATATATGATCAAGACTCCATGCACCTAACAAGAGTAGATCGTTTCTGTAAGTATTGTTAATTTAGTATCAGAATTGATAATGTTAGACACAAGTTTTTTCCTCATTTCATTTGTTACGCGGCAGGATAGTTCTTTACCACTGTAGACACTATAAAGAGTTTTGCCCATATGCAGACCATTTAATGTTTTTAATTCTCTATCTAAAGGAAAACCGGTAAATGACTAGCCCAGTTTTGCATTTTTGTATGATTTCAGTGGTTTCAATGACAACATCAGTCATTCTGGAAAAATTCTTGTGTAGCTGATTACAATTAGTACTTTTAAGAATTTGTTTTGCCTTTATATGAGCAAATGTTTTCTTATGTTCACAATTTTTTTTCCGTAATGATTGCAATTGCTTTGCATTGTTTACTCCATAAGTTTTAACAGATACAGTGACCCATTCTTCCAAAAAATAAATGTGTTTGAATGAAAAATCAGTAAACTTACCTTCTTTTCAAGTTTTAAGCCAAGAGTAAAGTTTTTTTTTCGATTAAAATCACTTACACTCAAAGACCTCAAAAACATATGATGACGTTTTAAAGTGTCCTATGATACTTACCATACTCGAACGCATAGTTTTAAACTCGAAAATAATGAAACGTAACCAAAATTTGCCATTACGGCGTTTAAAATCATTTTTATTTTTAAGGAATTTTGCCGTTCTTTTTAACGATCAAGATTCCATTTTTAGCCCCTTCTGTTTCTACTATATTTTAACCTTACAAAAACCTTAAAAAATTTGATTTAATAAATTTTGAAACTCTGTTTAAGCATATCAACTTTAACACTTAACTCCTCTCTAAACCTCTGGATTGCTGGATTGTTAAGTTCACTTGGCTTAGCTCCAAAAAAACTACATGTATAAAAGGACAGAGTGTTAGTTAGAGAATTTACAAATTTACCACAAAACATGGTTAAATCTAGTCTAAACTTATTTGTGATATTTGTATCAGGTTTGCTTTCTGCTACTTCTAACTTTACCTCAACCTAACCAGTCTATTCATTTCTGCTTTAGGGCTTTCAGCTTCATTTTTATCAGTTCTTTTGTTTCTTTTAAATATTGGAGATTAACGTTTTTACACTAATGTGTACTAGAGGACTTCTTATTAAACATTTATGCATTTTCCTTCCTGATGGTTAGTTTTAGTGAAACAATAGCTGTTTGAATAAGACTTGGGCCTTGCCAATATTTGTATTAGTATATCTTTGCCTATACACACTTTGACTGGCACCATCTAAATCGCTTATAAAGAGAAGTACACATTTAAACTGCCCCTCATTTTTAGCGAATATTTTCAATGATTCTTGGCTTCATTAAAAGTTAGTATTCTTGTCAGAGTAGGCTTAAACATACTCTGTAGAGGTTTTAAAAATGTTTGTGTCACACCCTTCACACCCTTAGGATAATATTTCTGTTGTTCATTCTCAATTTCATGAAGTGATTGATAAAGATCTACTTTCTGTAAAATGGATGAATTGCTGATAATTTGATACTGTTCATTAGAAAAACCACACGAAGTTTTTAAGCTCAAGGCGTTATCGGTATTCATTTTTATCAGAAAACTTACCTCTTCTTAACTTTATTAGAATTTGTAGAAGTTTTAATGAGAAAATTCTTTAGTTAGGATCTCTAAAGACTTTTTTTATTCAAGCTAGTGCCAGTGCTTCAGCAAGATGTTCAGACTATTTGGCAACCTTAAACAAGACAATAATCGATATTTAAGCGTGCAAACTATTGTTTTTATTGGTTTGATTTTCAATTGAGTTATAATTACTATCACTCAAATCCTCCCAATGTTTTTTCTTCCTGAGCCTGCTGAAACGTCTTTTCTGACAACTGTTATATATTATAACCAAGTTCGCTTATGTTCAAGATGTCTTGAAAAGGTTTGTGAATGTTTCCGCAATTTGATTTGTAATTTACATTTAAATGTTGATAGAGTTCTCATAAGATTTATAGTTTCAAGTTCATTAATAACTTCATGATATAGACCATATAGTCTACAAAACTTATGTTGAAGTTAATTATCATAACTAATTCTTAAATTTTGGACAATAAGAATTTCATGTATTCTTTTTATAATGAATACAAGCAGTTCATCATTTTATACGCAAGTTTTAATAAGTTTGAAAACGGAAAAAAAATGTTGGAAACAAAAAAAAAAAGTTTAAAGGTCCTATATTAAATTGAGACAAATGATCGGAAAAGTGTCGTTTTTTTATTTTTGCTTTTATATATACTTACAAAGAGAAAGTGTTGAAATCTAAAGGAACCTCTAACCATGAAATATAAAGGAACCTCTTGAGTTTAACCATGAAATCTAAAGTTAACCATGAAATCTAAAGAATCTTAATGAGTTCACCACAAAAACGTCTATTAGACGTATCAACATCATCTTAGACCAGCGTCTCAAAGACATTTAAAACTCATCTAAAATGTTAACACCTTTTAGACTAAATTTTATCTAAATTCTGACGTCTTTGAGATATCTCATTTCAGAAATCTATAAAGATGTCTTGATGTTCACATCTTTTAGACGTCTGAACAGATTATCTAAAAGATGACTAATTTATAGTGCCTTAAAAAAATTTAAAAATTTTTTTAAGACACCATAAATTAGTCATCTTTTAGACAATAGGTTTTTAAGCTGTCTTAAATACACCTCTTATCAGTACTTATAAGTCGGCCACTCATCTCATATATGAGATAAGTAGCCGTCTTACAACTACTGATAAAAGGTGTCTTGAAAGAAAAAGACATTGAAACCAGAGTGTTTAATAATACAATATTGTTATAATAATGCAGCTACTATGTGATCTGTGAAGAAAAAATCTGTCAGATGCCTTTGAGACATCGTATTCAGTAATCTTAAAAAGGGATGATTTCATGTCATTAATCTTAAAAAGGTATAACTTGCTGTTACAAAAATTACTAGGTGTATAATTTTTGGACTAATTTATTGTTTTATATGCCAATACATTATAATACAATAAATTTATAATATAATTATATTTATGCTGATACGTTATAATTTTATAACTCATTAACTTATATGCTAAATACATTATAATTTATTCTAAGAAAATTTATTAGACATGATACAATTAAAAGTAAAATTACAACTATATATTTATCTTTAAATATTACTTTGATTCAGCGTTTTTTTGTGCTTTAATTTATCCGGAACTTCAATTTTAACAGCTGACAGAACTATTTGAATTATTGCTGTTTTTTCATTAGAGCATGGTGTGTTTTGTTTTATCTAAAACCTTTATGTCAAATTTTATTTATTAACTTTGTTTAGATGGGTAATAAAAATAATAAACAAACTTTCTTAAGATTGAGAAAGCTTCGGGTATGAAATCTATAAAACTTGCTGATGGAAAAAATGTTAGCGGAAAGGGAAGTTTGACTGATAGACTCATTAACAAAATGCAAAACTATTTTGGTATGGCAATCATGCAAAATCTTGGCAAATTGTATGCTATGAAAAAATCAGTTTTAGCAATTCTTTGGCACTTTACGGACATTAAAAATCTTGACGTTAGACACCAGTTTTTTTCTAGATCTGCAATATCATGGTGTAAGTATCAAGTTGATAAAATAACAGGGTTGTCTAAATACAATTTAAAAGGTGTTTTCCCTGAAGCCATTAAAAAGGAAATTAAAAATATTTTTATTGATTTGAGTTCTGATGAACTTTTGTCGCGATCCTTAGAAGGCACAAGCCAAAATGCTAACGAAGCATTTATTCAGATTCTTTCGTAGAAATGCCTAATAAACACATTTGTTTCAAAAGATAGAAATAGGTACATTTTCAAAAGATAGAAATAGGTACATTTTCATCAGTAGTAAGTTTTAATGACGGGTTTTTAGCTCTAGATAATGTCTTGAAGAATCTTGGTTTAACACCAGAGAAATATTTTATTGATCGTGCTTTAGTATTCGATAGTAAAAGAGTCAAAAATATACAAAAAAAATCAACAGATATTGTACAAAAGAAAAAAGTTAAGACCTATAAGGAAAGAATTTATTGATAAAGAAAAACACCAGGAAGGAGGAGATAACTTTTTTATTTTTATTTTGTTAGTTTTCTCTGTTTTTGATATTTCAGACTTAAAACAAGTATATCTCAGCTTCTATGAATTATTTTTGAAAGAAATTTTTTGTATTTGTTCATCTGTATATAAGTTAGTATGTGAACCAGAATCTAATTAATTCTTTGAGTATTTTAGGAATTCTTCGTCTTCCGAACCATTGTAAGACATGCTTACAACAATAAGAAGAAAAACATCATCCTTCTAATAACTCTATTTGTTTAGTATGGAAATAAATAGTACATAATTTTACAAACAATAAAGAAGGTATAATGTAATCATTAAATTTAGAGAAGACAATAATAAATGTAATTTCATAAAAGAGTGTTAAAAAAAATGCTTCTAAAATTAAAAGTAAACTGGTACCTTTTTCTTTTGAGTAAAATGAGGGTGGTTGTGGTAAACCCACTTTTTGATCACAGTTTTCCGAAACCTTATTTTTATCATTGCCACTATCAGCTGCTGTGATGTAGATGTAGGTCTAGCGTTCTCGCTTGTCAGTTAGAAAAGTTGTTTAGAAAAATCTTCAGTTACGCGGTTTTGCACTATCCCCGACAATATATATATATATATATATATATATATATATATATATATATATATATATATATATATATATATATATATATACGCCAAATATTTATTGTTGAGATTACAAAAA